CATGTACACAATGGCTTCAGAAACGAAAGTGCAGGTCACAAATACCGCCCCGCCTCAGAGTCCCTTGATCGTGACTTGCTTGGACGAGTGCTTCCAGCACCACTTGCGACAGGACGCAAGCTTGGACTTTACAATTCGAGGTTTACTGGGCCGGCTTCAAATGCTCCACTGGAATCATTCTACTTCTCCGGGTGATGCGCCTTATGCAAATCAGTATGGACGATGCCCAGTGCCGATGCCTCCTCAGTATCAACGATTGCTCTCTTACACTTCCTGGGCTCTAAAGGGCAGAAGTTACTTGCCAGGCGGGTCCATCGCAACATAGGCTTCACCCCACCCCAAGCGGAACATCCTATGAGGCTTTGTGGGCAGGGCGCGTTCACAGAGTGCCGGGCCCGCTCCTCGATGGTACTACTTGGAGGTACGCCCCAAGCGCGGGAAATCTCTGGGGAGCTTGGGATTACGGGAAATTATTCATGACACGAACTAGCCCGTCGTTAAAAGTTTTGGCACGGATTATGCTCTGCCTTGAGCTCGAAGATCCGCCAGTATCCGCCAGGTGGATGAGAAACTAAGGCCACGGCTTTCGGAGTCCAGAAAGACGGCTTCTGTCACAATTTGATCAACATTGAGGATCTTTTGCCCATTGCTATTGATCGAAAAGTCGGTCTATTTGTCTTCAACGTGTCGAACCTAGATTACATCCAGCGCCTCACGCGGACGATACGCTTGAACCCCAAGGCGGGTACAAGATATCAACGCCGTAGCAATATCCACAAATTTGGCGTCTAGCGTAACACAATTGCGCAGCTGCGACAACCTCATGCGATGTATGACGAACATCCTGCCCCCGAACTCACTGTGTCAAGGTGATGTGGCGCGTCTCCTCGACCTTAGAAACCTTGTACGCCACTCATCATGCTCGTTCTCATCTTTGTCTTGCCGACCGCAGTCTTTAGAGTAAACACGTACTTTGGTACCATCCCGCCAAGAGGTGCCGTTTCCTATGCTGCGCCTATCGCCCCGCCACGAAATCAAAGACCTCGTACTGGATAAACGTCTCTCAACAACGTGGCATCAACCAGAGCTTCCGGCCAACATATTGCCTTGCATAAGGTCTCCACCGCTCCGAAGCTAAAACGTGATGGCCCATCTCTTCTAATTCCAACAACTGACTCAACTATCTTAGATACTAATAAGAGAGAGAGAGAGGTGGGGTTACGGTGAACCTTTTGTTGTGGCTTCAGTCGATGTCTCGTGGATTTAATATTCACTCACAGTAGTTATTGACTAGGGCCAGCCCGTGAAATTTTTAAACCTGCCTAAATTACCTTTGTGCCTTCGTTCGTAGCCGAATTGTCGGAGATATTTTGGCAAAGAAGCCGAGGTGCCCCTAAAGATTATAGATATCTGGAGCATCGTAATCCAGTCTCCTCAAAAAAGACCTCACTTAAAGACAATCAAACAATTCGGCACAGGCGGGTGGCGTCGTACTTGTTTAAGGGGGGCTGCAGTGCATAGGCTCGGCCAGGGGGCACACGCCGAGTCGGCCACATTGCCATCAAACAACACCCTGAACGCTTTTCTCTACCACCACCTCATCGCCCCGCCCCGCCAGTTCTCCTCGACACGGCGCACCCAGGACAGCTGCTGTCGCTTGGGCTTCATCTCTACCTTTGGATCTCACTACGCTACGCACTTGTTCTTCTATCGGCTTTCTATCTCCTATTTTGTTCAAGTCCGAACTCTACCACCGGTGCCTGTTTCGGAACCCCAATCGATTTCCGCGACACTAACTGAAGGTCCTCGTCAATCCCCAAAGCATTAATGTCTTCGGATTTTTCATTGGTGGACGTGGCTGGCTGGGAGTGGGATCTAAACGGGGTGAGTGTGACCAGGTTCGGCGCCATGGGGACATCCTTTTGGGAGGGGAACGGTTCAAGGATAGCTTACTATATTCTGTCTTCGGATTCGGTCGAATTAGGTGTACGCCGCGTATCTAGGCTATTTTCAGTCTTACAACATCGCATGGTAACGTCTGTTCCTCACGGCAAACTTCGACGTAGATTGAGGGACACATCCATTGACTGGATTTGACTATATTGCATAGGTACGACCGCTCATGGGGACATCTCTTCTCTTCCTTCGACACATTTCTTGGATTCAGCTGGCCCGCCGTCGTCATTACCGATGCGCGGACCGGAAGGGGTCACGTCGTCACTCGATCTAGCACTGTCCAAGCATTCGTCAGGATGATCAAAACTCGATTTGGAGAAATTATACCGCTAGCAACGGATCAAATGGTGATACCCAGCATTCACCCACGGATTCCAAATTATTGATGTACAATTTGGGTTCAGACGCCAATTACGGCATATGAACACCATCAAAGGCAGCTTCGGAACATCACTGATATCAACATCTACAAGAAAGTGTATAACACGCTACCAGCTGCTCAATTTGCGGCGCTCAAGAACCGGGTCAAGAATGGGAATCCAAAAGGTGTGTTACCTCATTTTTTTCCATCGTGTTGGCCTTGTTGATCGCCTTTTCTCTAACAGAACTCGCACAATTATGGAGTCGGCGAGAGAAGAACTTCCTTGCACTTGATTTCGAATGGAGCGAGAAGAGTTTGGCTGTCCTCGAGATGGGTTATGCGGTGATACGGAGTGCTCACCTGGATGCGTCCGGGGTATGGCCGCCGATGCCGGAAAGTAACTATAGGTTGGTGTCGGCTTCTTTTTGACACAGACTGGGAGCCGTTTGTGGAAAACTGAGAGGCATCCTTCAGGAAAGGTCATTACATTGTTCAAGACCATGTGGACAAAATACATAACCGGATGATGCCAACCTTTCCTTGGGATGTACGTACCGTCCTCTCTGTCTACAGGCGTCGTACTTACGCTAACCTAAACCCGTACCTCCTCTTCCAGTACGCTGTGAGCTTTTGCGTTAAACCTTAGTCTCATGTTTCGTGATTGGCTTATGTTCTTCTGCACGTTCAAGTGGGGCGAATCACACTTAGTGTCAAAAGCGAAAATTACTGATATTTTACAAGCCCTGTTAACGAGTCTCGCCAGTCCCGATTCCGAGTCCTTGCCCAACACTCTCGTCCTCATCGCCCATACGCCGCAGAACACCATAGAACGCCTGCAAGAACTCAAAGTAAGTGAGTATAACCCCAAGGCTTTCAATAGAATCACTTTGCATAGATGGCAAGTACTGATGATGTATCTCACTCTCCCCTCGCAGAATTACCGTCCAACGTTCTAATAGTGGATATCGCACATTATGAGCGCCAGCTCTTCAACTCCCGCAATCCTAATACCGCACGATCTCCGCACCAGACTCTCTCGCTCCCCAACATGCTCTTGAGTCACAACGTTCCGGTCCTCTCACCCTTCAACAACTCTGGGAACGACGCCTTCTACTCCCTTCTCATGTTCCAATACCTGATAGACCCGGAAGGTACACGCATTCCACCGCCAAAAGTGGCTAAACGGGACGGCCTACCGATGGTCGTCCCAAGCGCTGCCGTTTTACCCGCGACACAGGTCTATGGGAATGGTCCTGGGTCTGTGGGTACAGGACCAAGGCCGAGGAATTCTCATCGGTTGAGTGTCGGGACAGAAAAGGAGCTCAGTTTCAACCCTGGTGTGGTAGTTGGTGGACCGAACGGCTGGCAGGGGCGATTGAGCATGTTCAATGGCTCTATGCCAACATTCTCACCATCCCAGAGTGGTGGTATCGCCGGTGGGTCGTCGACAGGGGCACCTTTCGCCTCCAGGGGACGTTCTTCCATCAGTTTAACCGGTCCGAATGTGACACAGAGATTCAGCGGTGGAACAGAGAGTGCAGAGACCGGGGCAAGTGGTGGCGGCAGCGGCGGTGAACGAAGATCAATGTCGACAGCGCGTTCGGGTCAACCCATGAAAAGAGAAAACATTGGTGCCGGCGGGGCGGGAGGAAGGCCAAGATCAGACTCGGCGGCTCCATATCAGACTCAGGAACGGAAGGCAGCGGGCGCGCATTCGCCTAAGTTGTCTTCGAAACCTCAGACCCGGGGTCCGAACAGCAGTCCCAACGGGAGCGGGCAGAACAGTCCTGGATTTGAACCATCAGTCCGCGAGAACTCCCAACCTACAACGAGTCCAAGTGGGTTCGAGCCCATCCGACCGCCACGCCGCAACCAACCTCAACGCCGACAAGACAATTCCGAGGATGACTTCCAGCCGCCACAAGCACCGTTCGCTCGAGAGGCAGCCATGCGCAACGCCAGGAGCAAGAGCTACGACGACCACCAAAACCCAGGATCATCCCCAACGAAAAGTATCACAAATTATTCGCGGCAGAACAGCATTACGAGTATAAATAACCTCAGTTCGAATGTGAGCACGCCGACGAGCCCGAGCATCATGGTCACAGATCATGGGAGCCAAGACACCGGGTTGAATGGCGGGGGCCGTGGTAGCGGTCGTGGTACTGGCGGGAGTTCTGCACTAGTGAGCTTGAATGACCCGCCACGGTCGAGATCCGAGGCGTTGCACTCCGACTCGGGGAGCACCAAGGGGAAGAAGGAAGGACTGGGTGGTGGAGGCTTCTTCGCCAATACAATCAAGCGGTTTAGCATGAAGCCTTGATTTGTATGATATAGACGGGCTAGTAATCCGGTCTGGTAGACGCACATTCGTGCATATGGACCACATACTTATGGACTCTCGCATCGCGCTCGTCTGTTGCATGGACGTGGCTCCTACATTCGTTTTCTTAGTTTACTCCCTTGGCGATGCCAGTCTATGAAACATCACTCGTTGCCTGCATCTTACAAGGTACTTTGCTATCTGCACTACTTCGAAACATGTTTTCAAGTACGGGCGTGCTTGCAATATACGTATTCGCTTTTTTGAGCGTATAGATCCGAGAACCGGTGAATTAGGGGAGTTACATTATATTGTAATTATATAAATCATATATTATAATTTTCAAATAAAAACTAATAATCTTCAATGGTATAATGGTAGAACTCACGCCTGTCAAGAAGGCAAGTTGCCGCCTTTACACTACGCGTGCGACCTGGGTTCGATTCCCAGTTGGAGAGCTTTTGTCACTTAGTTGGTCGATTTCCCCTTACAGGGCATTTACATCCACCCAACACGGTTTGCTCTCAAGACAGTATGGACAGTACTTAAGATGATTCGGTTTGACTGTACGCTCGTACCAGCGATTGACTGCATGAACGAAGCAATGCAATTGAATTTTTCATCTGGGAGGCTATTGTTTCAAGTATTACGCCGACTAATCACAGCTTCGGATTACCCCATTTCGGCTTTCGTTTCTGTTGAGCCGTGAAAGAGAAGGGAAGGAGTCAGCGCCAATACAATACCGTTATCATAACACCGCAATGCGGCAGTATACCTCAGTGAAAGCCTTCAAGCCCTCCTAATGAAAGAACGAGTCAAATGAATGATTAGCGACAGGACAATAAGAACTTGATTTGTCTGAACGTGCTAGGAAAACAAAAGACGCACCAGAACGTTCTCGCCCTTGAACAACGCCTCAGTTTCCGGGCTCTTAACGTGGCTTAGCCTTGCCTCTTCCACGCCTCCAAGCTCCAAGGAGGATAGGATACCTCGCTTATTGCTCTGCACGGCGTCGGGCGAGCTGGCGATGATGGTCTTGGCCCATTGGAGTGCGGTTGGGAGGACGTCCTTTGGCGGCACGACCGCGTTGACGCTGTAAAAGGTACGGGAAGTCGGATTGGTGGCAGGATACTTGCATGTAAAAATGAGAACTCACAAGCGGAAACGGTCCTGAGCCTCTGTGGCTGAGATGAGCCTTCCTGTCAAGAGGAGCTCAGCCGCGAGCTAGTTAATTGCAGAGAGAATGCAAGATAAGGGATTCCAGGATCGAGACATTCTTTGCCACAAGTATTGCCGCACCTGGTGTCCAGAATTCTTCATCAACCGCGGGATGCCTAATCAAGGGAAGTCGCAAACCGGTGAATGATATAACTGTGGCCCAAGAAGGTTTTCACTGGCCTCCAGAAGAAACAGTCACGCCCCTCGACGCCTCGGGAAAACCAAACTTGGCATCCTTGCTCGAAACGACGATATCGCAGTTCAATACGATCTCCAACCCACCACCGATGGCGAAACCATTCACGGCGGCGATGATGGGTTTCTTCGAACGCCTCTGTGAAATGCCGCCGATGCCGTTGTTACCCTCGGCGACGGAGACTTCTGCCTGTGAGATGTTGGTGTTGTTACCCGCGGATTGATCTTTTTGCCATGCGACGAGGTCCATGCCGGCGCAGAATGCGCGACCGGCGCCGGTGATGATCACGGCCCTGCGAACGTGAGTGATTGGAATGGAGAAATTTTAGTGATTGGTGGGTATTATGAGTGTGAATACGGGAATGTACCATAGAGAGGTCTCTGTCTCGAACCAATCCATGACGCGGGCGATGTCTGCTGCCAAACCAGGTGTCATGGCGTTCATCGTCTAAGAATACCACACATGCAAAATGAGCAACATTGGGAAAACCTGAGCCATTCCTTTCTTTAAAAGTTTCAGATCACGTACGACTTTACGGTTGAGTGTAATGAGGAGGACATGTTCGAGTGGGAAAGAGACGAGGATGTTGGATTCCGAGTGTTCGGGTGGGGTCAATTTCGATTGGTAGGACATGGTGCGTGTGAGGGGGTCGACTTTCAAGCTGACACGAGATTTGAAACTGTGCAAGATACTTATGTAGTGCGGCAGAGAACGTCAAGTAAGCAACTGCGATGGCAAGTGCTTGATATGAGATGTGCGGGCCGACCTCGACTACCGGAAATGTAATACCCGGACCGATGCGTCTCACGTCGAAGTTCCCTCTCGTCTTGTCATTTTCGGCTCGCTCGGCCCAACAACACAGATAACTTGGAGGAGACATGTCGAATGAGGCTTCCTCATCAAAGCCTTCTCCAATACTCTCCGCATTAGGACAACCAACCACTCCTCAAACGATCAATGGAAAGGATGAACGCGCATTCGAACGATGGCGGAAGAGCGCTGCATGGATCACAGGCATCGGTCTCTCACCCGAGGAACAGGCTCAAAGGCAGAGTCAACGCGAGTTGAAGAAGGAAGAAGCTCAGTGGATGCGATGTGAAAAGTGGAAGGAGGAACTTCTGAAAACCAGTTGAGTAAAAGCAACAACACCTATCCTCACGATTTGACTGATGGAAAAACGCCTTTTGTTAGGCCCAGCGGTGACATTCATGATGAAGCACTTGCACGCCTCTGGAGCGAAAGTTACCGGGGACCATATCCATTGCCAGCCATGCCAACTCACGCGTGCGGGCGGGTTCTCACCTGAGAGTGGGATCTTACTCTGTCAGGATGGGTTCTGGTCCAAGAGTCACATGGAGGACACGATGGTACATGAGTTGGTGCATATGTATGATCACGCCAAGTTCAAGGTGGATTGGAAGGATTTGAGACATCATGCGTGCAGCGAGGTGAGCTGTTTTGGGCACAAAGAGACATACTTTTATAATTGATTTCCCCTTCGTTACTGCCACGGTTTGATCTAGATACGCGCGGCGAATCTAAGTGGGGATTGCAAGTGGTCGAGAGAGATACGGAGGGGGTTCTATACGTTCTCCAAACAGCATCAGGTCCGTCTTCAACCCCCTCTATCCCAGGAAAGACTCACCCAACTCACGAGGCCTTGGGGGATGCGCTTAGGATTGTGTACGAAGACGTGCTGTGTTGTCAGTCATGAGCCATCCAGATTGTGGAGATCAGGTTAAGGCGGAGAAAGCTGTGAATGAGGTCTGGGAGAGTTGTTTGAAGGATACGCGGCCGTTTGATGAGGTTAGTCCTTACGGTTCTCCCCTATCTCAGTGCGCCTGTGAGGAGACGGTACTGATGGTTCTTTCTGGAATCGATACCAGGTTTATTAGACCGGCAGTCATTAACCGCCCAATCATCGTTCTCCTTCCAGATTCCCTGCAATTCTGTGCGGTGCCGAGCTCTTGTGGGGATCGCAGGCCATCTAAGGCTTTTAACGACGTTGAGGGTTCTGGTCCTCCCATCTGCGGCAGTTTCATTGCGAAGATGGGAGACTTGGTGCTAGATATACTGAGCTATGTAGTAGCCCCTTATACGATACCGATACATTAATGTCAGAAGACCGAGTGTAGCCGCAGCTCGGCGGTAGCGTTCTGTGGGATCCTAATATCCATTCTGGCTTGGCCGGAGGTTCGCCGACGCTGTTTCTCGTGAACTCTTTCACTTCCAATGCCCCCGCTATTCTCCCACGCATATATCTGCCGACTGGCCGAAACAGGGGCTTGCCTGTAACGTTGGGAGGCATCGGTTCCGTTCTCCAAGTCGCGCGGTTTTCTTCTGATCATGGGGCTTTCGATAGCTGCGGGCCTGTGCAACAAACAGTATTTGTACCCTAAGTCTTTGCTATCTGAGTTCAACTGACAAGAAGGTTATTGGCAAAGACTGCCAAGAAAGACTACAGCCTACTTTGGTCCTCCCATGCAGCGCATAATAGGTGAATGCCTTTTCCAATTTTACTTGATTTTATTAGATTCACTCTTGCTGCACCTTGCACGCTCACAAAAGCACCCTCTTCGATAGAGTAGGAAAAGTCACTTAACGTCTGCTGACTAGGCACGTTCGATACATGCGTTTTAAATTGGGAACACCCCCACACATTACATTAGTGTCGAAAAGTCCGAGGGCTGTGGCTTGGCGAGGTTCTGGACGCCTTCCTTTCTTTTATCACTGAGCACTCTTCGCCACACCTCTCAGGCCCTTCCTAACCATCAACTCAATACATCTTCGATGAGATTGCGTCATCGGCATTCCACTGTCACCGACGAACAAACGGCGAAAGTCAATGTGCGCGAAGGGGGAAGACGCGGTGCAAATGGTGCCAAGGCCATCCAAAGTGCGGCGATATACTTACGGCGATCACCCCATATCGATCTATTTTGGCCCTTGTGGGTTTGCCTCAAGGCTAAGCGCCGCGCGGCTCGAGGCACTTCTCGTCCTTCCATGGCATATCGGGAGCCGCGGAGAGATCGCATTTTGAGTTATTCGGATACGTTCGCAATTGAATTCCCTCAGAGCAACCGATGACTCTTGGTGACACGCACGTTGCGTGCAACAACCGAGGAACTCTCGTATTCGCGCGCACCAGTTGTGCGGCATGCGTGCCGGTATTCCTATTCGGTTCCGCCTAATATCCATTTCCGCCTCCAAACGTGGGCGAAGCACAAGTGTAGCCGGTGCTCTCTATTGCGAATGAGTGGTATGGATGGATGCTACTGACAGATTGAGGTGAAAGCGGAGCGTTTAAACCAGAGGAGTGGGACGAGAAGTGATATGATGGGTATAAAGTGAGTTTTGGTTGACGGGATCATACCGTATCATTCTCAACCTCTCTCTTCACTTTTGAACGACTCTCATCACGAACGACTTCCCTCACGCAACTCTACACAATCCTCATCCGTAAATCATCATGCGTTTCGCCGCCGTCTTACTCACCCTTCTCCTCTCCTCGTTGTCTGCCATGGCCAACTTGGCGATCAGGAGCAGCAGCTTTGAGGGGGGTGTCGTCAACTACGACTTGCTCGCTTTCTTCGGTGCGCCTGCCGAGTGAGTGTTGTTCGCTGATGGGTTGCCATAGATCTGGACTGGGCTGACAGATTTCTTGCTTCAGCTACATTATCCAGCTACTCGATACTTGCCACGGCAACTCGTCGACGATCGAGAATAATGTGGCAACCATGAACGGAACGAATACCGTTTCCATACCCTCCGCGACGGTGCCCGGCAACTACCAGGTTCTGCTTGCGGAAATGCCCACGAACTCGAGACTTATGAAGCGAGCGTAAGTCTTCAGACACTGACGGACTTTCGGAATATTAATGCTTGGATTTGGATTTTAGTAATCATGTGTATGCCGCGACGGTTCCCTTCAACGTCAAGGCTGCGGCCGCGGTGGCTCAGTGAACCCTTCGATGTACAATGGAGGAAGCACCGTAGCGCCATATATAGCGAAAGTTTAAGGCCTATGCCATGGATTATTATTTT